GGTGAATTGTAGGAAGAGAGATAAGAGAGAAGAGTTACAGGAAAAGAGAGGAGAAAGAATGAGGGGGGAATGGAAGAGAGGGGGAATGGAAGAGAGAGGAAAAAGAAGAATTTAAGGGATATAAAGAAAGGAGGATAGAAGAGAGGAGAGAAAAAGTGACATAGAAGAGATGGGAGAGAGGAATTCACATTAGAGATATGAGAGAGAATGAGTGAGATGGAAGAGAGGATATAATTTAAATAAGGGATGAAAGAGAGAATGATAGAAGATAGAGGATAAAGAAATTGAAGGAAGAAAAAGGAGAGATAAAAAGTGGAAGGAAGAGAGAGGAGAGAGAAAACAACGTAAGGAAGAGATAGGAAAAAGAAAATAATTAAAAATATAAAAATTGACAATTGTGGACCACACACCTCATATATTGCACATACATGTCTTTAATGACTTAAAAAATACACAACTATACTTATTGGCAAAAAAAATTGATAGAATTGGCTTCTAATTTTCACTAGAATTAATGGGCAAGGAGTATTCTGAGGGTTGGCCTAGACAACTGATTGAAGTCTGTTAAGAATAGTAGGATAGTGTGTGTAAATTGTTAATAGTAAGAGGGTGTATGTGTAATTTTTATTATTGTAGGTTAACTATAAATATAAATGATGTATGAGAGGTAGGTTAAGTTTTGACCTCTCTCTCTCTCTAATATTATTATGTTAATTCATTAAACTTAACATGGTATCAGAGCCTATACGATCATAAATATATATTCTGAATAAATTTTTGTTCTTAGTAGTGCTATTGTTGTGGTGGTGTGTTGTACTGTGCATCGTGGTGGTTCTACTGTGTTGTTTGCCGTTGTTTGGCGGCTGTCGTGGTGTGACTGTGGTGGTCTGGTATGTTCGTTGTGGTGGTCGAGGAGTGTTGTTTACCGTGGATCTGTGGTCGTGGTGGTGTGACTATGGTTTGTGGTGGTTTGTTGGTCGTGGTGGTGGTCTCGAAGATTGGCTGTGGTCGTGGCGGTGTGGATTTGGTTTGTGGTGGTTTGTCAGTCGTGGTGGTGGTCCAGGAAGACTAGGGTTACTGTAACCCTAATTAACGAAGAAGAAAGGTCCAGACCCGGAAAAAGGTCTAGACCCGATTCGATCCAAAACCATCTAGCCCACGGTTCAAGTCTAGACTGGATCAATCCCGGTTTGATCCAGGTTCAGCTTCGGTTTGATCCCGGTTCAGCTAGATTCAGACCGGTTCGTTCTATTTTGTCTCTGGTTTAGCGGGCCAGTGGTCTCTTGTGACCCGGTTCAATCTGTTTTAAGCTGATTCAAGCCCGGATCAGTCATTTTTAGACCGGTTTATGCAGGATCCTTTTGTTTTTACTTCGGTCCAGCGGGCTAAACCAGTTTGGTTCAGGCTTCTAATGGCCCTAGCAAGGCCGGTTCAGTGGTCTAGACTGGTTTTTCAGTCCGATTCAGGGCTCCAGCAGCCTTAACAGGCCTGGTTCAATGGTTCAGGCCGGTTTTTTAGACTAGTTCAGTATTCCAGCAGCCTTAATAGGCCCGGTTCAGTGGTCTAGCATCCTCTTTTCTTCTGGTTCGGCATTGCAGCGCTTCTTGTTTGCTATTTGCTGCACTGTTATGGAACCCAAGCAAGACACTAGATTGGTTATTATTACTCGAGAGGAGTATGCCCAGTTCCTATCTCAACAACAGGATGTTCCATCTTCCTCTACTGCTACTTTTGTCCAGTCAGGTATTGTTTTCACTTGTTTATTATCCTTCAATCGCAATTTCTGGATCATAGACTCTGGCTCTTCTGACCACATGACTGGTGTGTTTGATATTTTTTCTACTTATCAGTCTGTTCCTTCCACACGTAGTGTTACTCTTACTAATGACACTTGTTCTAAAGTTTCAGGTTTGGGGACTACTAACTTGAGTCTTGATATATCCCTATCTCTGTATTATTTGTTCATCAGTTTCCTTTTAGTTTACTTTCTATTAGTAAGATTATCTATTCTCTCAATTGTTCTGTAACTTTTTATCCTTATTATTGTGTCTTTCAGGATCTTAAGACGAAGAGAAAGATTGGTACGGGACATAAAGCTGGTGGCCTATATTACTTTGATTTTAATTCACCTACTCGGGCTCTACAGACCTTGTTGCCTCATTTTCAGTGGCATTGTCGTCTTGGACATCTCTCCCTCTAGAATTTGAAACGCCAATTTGTCAGTCTTAGTTCAGTGTCATCTTTGTCTTGTGAAGCGTGTCAACTTAGTAAGCATCACCGTGTGCCATTTCAGTCTCGAGTTAATAATCGTGTGTCTAGGCCATTTGAATTGGTACATTCTGATGTATGGGGTCCAATAAAGAATATTTCATCTAATAAATATCCTTATTTTGTGTCATTTGTGGATGACTATTCTCGTGTGACTTAGTTGTTTCTGATGAAAGCTTGGTCTGAATTATTCTCTATATTTGAGATCCTTCGTAAGGAAATAAAAACTCAGTATGATTGTCGTATCCGTATTTTACGTTCTGATAATGCTCGGGAATATGAATCTGATCCTTTTTTAATTTATCTTAATAAAGCTGACATTATTCATCAGACTTCCTGTACTTACACATCTCCATAGAACGGTGTTGCTGAACGCAAGAACCGTTATTTGTTGAAAATTATCCGTGCCCTATTATTTCAGATGAATATTCTCCGATATTTTTGGAGTGATGTTGTTCTTACTATTTGTCACCTTATTAATCGTATGCCATCTTCTGTGTTAAATGGGCAAAGTCCATATTCCGTCATTTTGTCTGGTAAGCCCTTATTTTTCCTAACTCCTAAGATTTTTGAATGTGTTTGTTATGTTCATAATTTGGGTCTTGGATTTGACAAATTTGACCCTCAAGCTACCAAATGTGTATTTCTTGGTTACTTCTGCACGCAGAAGGGGTATCGTTGTTACAGTCATTCTTTGCACCGATACTTTACTAGTGCCGATGTCACGTTTGAAGTATCTGTTCCATATTTTTCAGCACCTTCTCAGCTTTTGGATCTGAACTTTGAGTCATTTCTTGTACCACCATCTCTTTCCTCATCTTTAGATATCCCGCTGTCCACTATATTACCACCTACTTTACCTCTCCGTGTCTATTCTCGTCGTCCTCGCCCATCGATTGAGGTGTCTGTACCGTTTTCCTTGCCGCTTTCTGATCCTAGTACATCAGGTAATTTAGACTCTTTACCTATTGCTTTTCGCAAAGGTACTCGTTCGTGTGTTACTAATCATCCCATTTCTTATTTTATTTCATATGATGCTTTGTCTCCTGTCTTCTCTTGTGTTACTTCCCAATTATCTGTTATATCTATTCCTAAATATGTACCGGATGCATTATCTGATCTGGGTTGGATGAAAGCTATGGAGGAGGAGATGGATGTCTTACATTATAATGGGACTTGGGATCTCGTTCTTTTACCTCCTAGTAAACGAACTGTTGGCTGTCGTTGGGTATATACTGTTAAATTTTATTCAGATGGTTCTGTGGATCGTCTCCAAGTCCGGCTTGTTGCAAATGGCTTTACTCAGACTTATGCTGTTGATTATGAGGAAACTTTTTCTCTTGTTGTCAAAATTTTCTCTGTTTATATCTTGATTTCTTTGGCTGCTAATCTTGATTGACCCTTATTTTAGTTAGATGTCAAGAATGCCTTTTTACATGATGACTTAGTTGAAGAGGTATATATGGAGCAGCCACCTGGGTTTACTGCTCAGGGAGAGTATGGTAAGAGTGTATGTCGGTTAAAGAAATCTTTATATGGTTTGAAGCAGTCACTAAGGGCATAGTTTGGTAAGTTTTTAGATGCAGTTTTAGAGTTTGGTCTTCTTCGATGTCAAACAGACCATTCTGTGTTTCATAGACAGACAGATGTTGGATATGTCCTATTGGTGGTCCATGTAGATGATATTGTGATTATTGGGAATGATTTTGAAAGGATTGTCAAGTTAAAAACATTCTTACCGGATCGATTTTATACTAAAGGTTTGAAAAAACTCAAGTATTTCTTGGGTATTGAGGTAGTTCGATCTAAATAGGGTATTTGTTTATCCCAGAGGAAATATGTACTTGACATGTTTGAGAAAGCAGGTTTGCTCGGTGGCAGACCTATTGATGTTCCTATGGATCTGAATCAGAAACTTTTGACGAATGATGGTACAATATTTGAGAATCCAGGTCGGTATCACAGATTGGTTGGGAAGTTCAATTATCTCACTATTACTCGACCGGATATTTTCTATGCAGTCAATATAGTAAGTCAATTCATGAGGTGTCCAAGAGTACCACATTGGGATGCAGTTACTCGTATTTTGCGTTATCTCAAACGTGTTCCTGGACTTAGATTGTTATATCGTGCTAATGGACATCTTAGAGTGGAAGGTTTCTCAGATGCAGATTAGGCTGACTCTCCTTCTGGTCGGAGATCAACCACTGGTTATTGTATTTTCTTAGGAGGCAACGTTATCTCATGAAAAAGCAAGAAACAATCCGTGGTGGCAAGATCCAGTGCTGAGGCTGAGTATAGGGCAATGACGCATACGACGAGTGAGTTGACTTGGCTACTACACTTCCTCCAGGAAATTGGGTTTTCAGTTCAACTTCCTTTACAGTTGTTCTATGACAACCAGACAGCTATCCATATCTGTGTCAATCCTGTGTTTCACAAGAGAACCAAGCATATTGAGGTTAATTGTCGTTTTATTCGGGACAAGATTGTAGTTGGGGAGATTACAACTCCATTTGTGAAATCTGAAGATCAGCTTGCAGATATGTTTACCAAAGCATTGAGTCGTACACGTCTTACAGCTATTTGTTTCAAGCTTGGATTATATGATATATATAGTCCAGCTTGAGGGGGAATGTTAAGAATAGTAAGGTAGTGTGTGTAAATTATTAATAGTAAGAGAGTGTATGTATAATTTTTATTATTGTAGGTTAACTATAAATATAAGTGATGTATGAGAGGTAGGTTAAGTTTTGATCCCTCTCTCTCTCTAATAGTGTGTTATGTTAATTCATTAAACTTAACAAAGTCCAAGGGATTGTGGGGCTTTTGGGCTTAAATAATTAATTTCAAATAGGCTGCTTAAGTCTGGATTGGACCAAGATGAATCTCGAATTTTTCAGGGTAAAGCCTCCAACCCTTCGTTGCCTATTTCTGACCTGGTTACGAATAAAAAGGGACATTGTTCAATGTCTTTGGTTGGGGCTAAATACGATGAGAGATATGTTGGGAGAGAAAATTATGGGCTTTGGTATCAAACAAGGCTTCAAGAGAGATGGGATGAATTTTGAAGGAGTGCAAAAGAGCGAAGTTGAAGAGAATTGAATCGTTGAAGCAGCTAAAGTAGTTTTATCGGAAACTGATGAAGGCGAAGTGAACAGAGATCTGTTCGAAGCCCTTTCTAGGTTTTTTGATCAAAATATGTGGGTGGATAAGATAGACAATGGAGTATTTGATTTTAATAAGGTTTGCTCCAGTTTGGAAGTGGATTCTAATTTTGAAGGAGAAGCAGTGAGCATTGACGATGAAGTTCCAGTGAGGACAGATGATGATTCAAAAGGAGTACAATTCATTATTGGTGTGGAGGATTGTTTGATAGGATACTTGATGATAATACTCGGTGGATATTGGGCTGAAGCAAACTGATTCAGCAAGAAATTTGTTGACTATATTGCGCTTTTTCCTTTCAAGCAAATCAATGAGGTATATGTTTCTTTTGATCAACAGTCTGGGGAGTTGTCTTCTTCTAAAAACCATTTTCTGTTGGATGAATCATCAAAAAGGGGGGGGGGGGGGGAACTGTGGTGTAGGTCTGGCATGTTATGAGTCTCTTTTGATTCCTGAGAGTTCTATTGTCTAGCTGTATACTCTGATGATGTAGGTTTTTGTGTTTCCAAGTCTTCTCCCCATTTTCTGCATGAGTATCAACAAGCTGCTGAGTTAAATTTAATACCAGTATGTTTTGAAGAAATATTGCCCGTGGGGAGAGATCTATGATCATATTTGAGTTGGGGAGGATGTTTCTTGTAATTATATTGGTTGCCAGTCTTTGATTATTCTTGGGCTGAGAGAAAAATGTGGTCAAGGAGAGTAAGGTTGAGGAGTGGTTGAAAGAATTACAGCAGTGTGTTTCATTCACTGTTGATGAGGATTGTTGGATGAAATGGAAAAATATTCTGGATGGTATGAATTTGACTTGGGTAAAAATGGAAGGGAGGGAAAAAATTGGAGGGAGGCCTTTCATAGATGAGTCTGGGAAAAGTAAGGGTAATTCCAAAGAGAATAGGAATAGGAAGGGGGTTAGAGAACTTAAAAACCTGTGGTTTGGGTTTAATAATGATAGAGGTGTGCAGGAGTGTCTTTAGGGATAGTGTGGGGAATCAGTGAAGTTTTTGAGTTGGAATGTTAGAGGGATTAGATCTCGGAGGAAGCATTAAAGAAATTTTGAATAAAATGTCCTGTTTTATTCTGGAAACTAAGGTTGAAACAATAAATACAAAATTTATCTTTAGTCTTTGGGAGGTTAGGGTTAGGCAGTGGTCTTTTTATCTTCCTTTGGTAGAGTTGGGGTGATTTAATTTGGGATGAAAGAGTGGTTAAGGATTTAGATGTGGTAGTAGGAGAGTTTACTGTGTCGGTCAAGTTTAAGAATTTGAATGATTGAGAATGGTGGTTGACTAGTGTTTATGGCCCTAATTGCCCTAGATTAGGAAATGTTTGTGATAGGAACTTACAAGTCTATTTGGCTTGTGTTGTCCCACATGGTGTATTTGGTTTTTTTTTGGGGGGGGGGGGGAGGGAGGGGTCAATGTTATTAGAGATGCTTTTGAGCTAGGATACACGGATACGGATATGAGATATGGATAAAACATGATACAAGTACGATACAACAAAATTTCAAAAAATAAAATACAAGTACAGTTAGGATACGTCTATATATAAAAATATATGCATGTATATATTAGAATGTTATTACAACACTAGGGATATGAGAAATTAAGATATAAAAAACATCCAAACTAAAATAATTTATGTTACTAACATAAGATTGCTTAATGATGTTTTACATTTAAAATTATACGTAATTCTAAAGCTGAAGATTTATCACCATTTGAGAGTCCTCAATTTTTACTTAGCATTTAATTGCAATAAAGTTCATTGGCTTTAACATAAGCCATAAAAACTCATTATTCAAGTCAACCAAATTGTAAAGAATTAAAAAATCTTGTGATATATGTGATGAACATCTAAATGAACATCTTGGAATGAGGAATCCCTATTTTTATGATTCACGTTTTCAAAACATCCCACCTCACCAAGTATAAGGCGAATGTATTCACCGTGGAAATACGTGTATTTAGAGACGAAACTATGAGGAGGCGACCCCCCTCAAATTTTAATAATTCTCATTATTCCCCCTATATTTTTATAAAGTTTTGTTGTTAACCTCTAGCTTTTCAAAACACTCAAAAGTGTAAGGACATCGCTTAGTGTTTTCAAAGAGATCAATGACGTAATATTTAGTAATCATTTAGGATGTAATCACATGAATAAGTATCGTTTGTACTGACGAAGACACTTATTTGATTATTTTGATGATGTAGAGAAAAAATAAATTGACTTTTTTATAAAAAAAAATAGAGATACAAATATGATTTATATCAAAAGTAGTTAGTTGACTTATAATTCATTTTTATTATGGTATCATATGAAACTATTATTTACGACCTTAATTTATTTATAGATATAAGGTTATATTATAAACAAGAAAAAAAAGAAGAGGTTATTACAAATGAATTTTTATTATGACATGAATCACTTTTGAGTTTTGTGCTCAAAAATAATTTTTTCAATGCCATTACATAAAAATTGAATTTAATGGGTTTTTTATAAATAAAAAATTATCATTGACAATGACCGTTGAATAACCCAATTGAATTAACTTTTTGTCTATGTCATTGTTGGTCCCCCCTCAAGATAAAATTCTAGTTCCGTTCCCGTGCGTATTCGAGGTATATTTGACAAGTATCCAACAATGATAAATATTTTATTAATTATTCGATTCGTGCGAAAAGTATTTAATACGTATCTGCAAGTATCCGACGAGTATCAGATACAGATACATCACCTCGATCGAAGCATCCGTCCTTCATTGCTCTTCTGAGAAAATTAGGTGAAGCAGGGTCACGACAAGCATGAGAGAATTTGATCGCTTCATTACATGCTATGGTTTGATGGATCCACCATTATCAAATGCTAGTTTTACTTGGTCTAATCTTCAGTAGAATGTGGTTTGTAAAAGACTGGATATATTTTTATTGTCAAATGATTGGGTGGAGATGTATCCAAATGGGAGACAAGAAGCTTTTGCTAGAGCAGTATCGGATCATTCTCCAATTGTCATAGAGAATTGTTCGTTTAGGTGGGGGCCCAATTCCATTTAGATTTAAGAATATGTGATTTGTGTATCATTCTTTAAGAAAATCTTTTGAAAAATTGTGGGATGAATATAATGTTCTAGGTTGGGAAGGTTGTAAATTTATGAAAAAACACAAATGGGTAAACAAAAGAGGTTAAAATTTGGAATAAGGGGGAGTTTGGGGATATTGTGTTGTTCCAAATGCAACCTAAGAGGGAGAGGGGTTGAATTACTTTGTATGAGTTAATTACTAATTTTTGCTTCTTTAATTCTGACTAATTATGTAATCTAAACAATTATATGATCAAGAAGATAAAGAGTATCATGCAAGTGAATAGTAGGGAGGAAGAAGAAGAACAAATACAATTTAAAGAGGTTCGGCAACCACGATAGCTAAAGTCCTCTACTCTATACAACCTCCTCCATAGAGCTCCTCTTCCATTATCTCGACTTTTTACCTCTTACAATCTTCATATTCTTCGTTTGGTGAAGACACACTTTTACAATTTCAAACTTTTTAATGCAAGATTTTTCTCTCATTACATTAAAGAATCACTCAAATAAAAACGAGAGAAATTCACAATAAGACTTTTAGCCAAAATCTTACAACATGATCCTTCGTCAATAAATAGATCATACTTTAAATTTCTAAGAAGTCCCAAATCGTTTTCTTTCTTCACGGCTCATCATCCCCATGTATAGTTGAGGCAATTTGGTAAGAGAACTTGGCCAAAAACTCATCGCTTGAGCCAAAAACCTTCAACGGTCATGACCGGTCAACCGGTGCCAAGGTCCGGTCGACCGGTGAATGTTTCTGTCTAAAATCATCAAAACAAAATTTTCTTCACCGGCCTCCTCCGGTCAACTGGTACACAACCTCCTTTTCATCACCTAACTTCCAAGCCATTTTTTACCCCTAAAACATTCGAATCTGAAATTTCATATTTGACACAGTTGTAAATCTTGAAATATTCTTTATAAAACATCTTGAATTAGTTCAATTGGACATCAGAGTAAAAAGTAATGTCCAAAATACCAAGACTATGTATGTTCTTCTTGATTGACCGAATGTATGCACTAACTCTCAAGTTGAAGGCCATTTTTTTCCACCAAAACATTCAAATTGGAAATACTATTTCATCCAGACTTATAGTACTTAAAGTCTACTTTCCAAATCATTAAGAAACATGTCAATTGGATATCCCAGTATAAAGTTATGACCACAATTCCGAGACTATACCAACTTGATTAATTTTAGCATTTTTTCTTCTTGGCTTATTTCTCCCCACTTTTGCTCTGTTCCTTCTTATCTTTTGCTTCGATCCTTTTATTCCTCATATCAAGCAACATAATTATCCTTCGTTATCATGAACAATGATCATATGTGTGATATTTGACTTATCACGTTCTTCACTTATCATGATCAAACGAACGAGATTCATAATATGCTTCCCACGCGCACTGTCTTCATTTTTTTCGCATATTCAATTATCCGATTTAGTATTTTACCCATAGTACAAGTTCTCCTTTGTTTCTTTATACCTGGTGTGACACAATACATATTCAATCTCTCGCATCAAACCTATGCAACACTTTACAAACAAACTAACACGAAGATAATTAGATATGTAAGAGAGTGTTTGTTATCAGCAAAGCTTTGCTTAATCAAGCATAGGGTCAACATTCTCCCTCTTTTTGATGATAACAAACACAATGAACAAATGATATATGTAATTCAACTTCTCACTTAACATATGCTCATATATAGTGTCAAATGTATATATAAATACAATTTTTCTCCTTGTTTTGACATCATCAAAAATATATCAATAGCAAAAGCACATTAAATTAAAAACATTATATGCTTCCCCTATTTATGCATCTATCAATGCTAACAATGTGTCTCACTTCTATTTATTTCATGTTTTTGACATGAGTTCCAAAACTAACCACAATCCTAGAGAAAGTATCAGCGAATGTTTGTGTATAATGATGGTGGGTGGTTGGTTGAGTATGCAAATTAAAAAAAAATCAAATCACAATAAAACAAATATAAGTTTAAAAATCATCAAAATGAAGAAATAACCAGTTAGGTATACAATTTGAGGTTAGGGATTCATAATTTGAGATTATTTTGTTCGGGGGTCAATTGTGATTAAGTTACAATTTGGGGTCGAGAATTTGGGTGAATTGGATCATGAACCCACTCCATTTTGAGTTGTGTGATCCTGGCTCATGAAAGTCCAAGGGGAGAGAAAGAGAGGGAGAGAGAGAGAGGCCCATGGGTTGTCAATCTCTTTTCAGCAAAATTATGGGTATCCCTATATTTAAGTCATTCTATAAGGATGCCAGTGTAATTTACCTGTAAATTTGGAAGATCCATCTTGTTGGGCCATTAAAAAGTCACCTTAGGCACTTTTCCACAATGACCAAACTTGGTTTTTTGTTGGAGTTCAATTCTACTGTGGCATGCAGTTGTTGGTAATGGCAAAATTTGGGTAGTAGTGAATACTGAGAATGTGTCCCTCATAGATTGCTTATAACAATGTTGAACTTCAGTGCGCATTGAAGTTACTTCCACACCTATTCTAAAAGCAGGAAAACCAATTTGGCAACCATGTCATCTGTTTTTGTAATTTTTCTGATAGAAAATGTTCTTTTTTCTAACCAAAATTTTAACACACTAAATTTGCTGCTGTGTTTATGTTATACGAGGATGTCTGAACTTAAAACAAACAGTGGCAATGTGCTTTGTGGTGTTATAGTGAGCAAAGGATTCCATTCAACTTGCGTGAAGAGAATGGGAGGAGGACATGCCCATGCCCATGATGAGCCATTTTACCTTCATGCAAAGCACATGTACAACCTGGACCGAATGAAACATCAGAAGCTGACGATGACCCTTGGTGTCTTCACTGCCTTCAGCATCGGTGTTGGAGTGCCAATTTATGCTGTCATCTTCCAGCAAAGGAAGACAGGTTCTACATAGCTCATCATGTCAATCCTCCTTTGCTTCAATAACAGAGATTGTTTTTTGAATCCCTTGTAGTGGGGCTTTGAGCCTGGCTGATTCAAAGAATTAATAGTTTGCGGTGTTTGCTTTGCTATGTCATGCTGTGTTGCTTTATCTGCTTCAACTTGGACACAGTTTTCCATACTGCATTCTCAATAATATTTCTTGGTTTGTTCCAATACAGATTTAGTGTTGGTTTCAAGTGTTCTCTTGTCTCGATAGCCAAACCTATGGTTGTGAGAAAGTTTTGCATACATGGGGCAGATTGTTTTAGAGAAAGTCGATCATTGGTCCCTTCATTCTTGAGTAATCGTGTGGCTGTCCTAATGTTTATTTGGACTTAAAATCTGGTAATTTTTTTATATAGAAGAATTAATATTTTGTTTTGAAATAATCAAAATAGCCGAAACATTTCTGATTTCAAGAAGAACGAAACAAATTAGTGACGGAATTGAAATTGTAATAATTTGTTTTGAGGTGTTTCAGAATTTTTTGAAATATTTTGAGATAGATCGGCCTTGATTTCACAAATGTTTTGAAAAGTTTCAAAGTGGTTTAAGATGATTTAGTATCTTTTGACAATTGTTTGGAAATAATTTTACTATCTATTTTCATTCTATTTTTGAAATGTTCTCAAATTTTTTTGAAAGGTTTATATTTCTTAAGTAACTGAAACAATATATCAAAACGAAATTTTAATTAATCTATAATATATTGACTCTACAAATGTATACTAATGTGCACACCCTATTATTTATGCACAAGCCCATAGCTAGAGGACCATGACCACTTTACAAACATGCTTCAGATACAGTGAAATAAGTTGTGGACACATTATGGGAGATTGCATAGGTTTTTTAGGGAAATTAAATGATCTTTTTTTATTATTTTTTATTTTGGTATGATTAGAAAATTAATTCTAATTGAGCTAAAAATAAATATAAATACAATATCTTACTTTTATCAATTGGAAAAGGGCCACTTGAAACAACTTGCTGGCTCCGCCCCTAGTAGTATTCCATCATAATCCTGTAAGTCTTAGACTTAACATGCCTCAGATTTGGCAAGGGTGGTCATCAACTCAACTCAATGTAATAGTTTCTATATTAAAAGAAGATCAACTTAAATTTTTTGAACGTTAGCTTAACATTAGAATGATTCCCTTCCCAAATCCGATCCAAAAATGATTGTGGTCATCAAGAAAGAAAGAAAGAAAATCTTATGGTCCGTTTGATAGGAGGGATGAAAAGTTGGAAAGTTAGACTTTCCATCCTTTGAGAAAGGAAAAATATTTTCTTTTTTTCTTGTTTGGTACGATGGATTGAAAGTTGGAGGGATTAATTTTCTATTGTTTGGTATTAGAGAAAAAATGAAAGAAAAAAAAATATGTATAGACTTAATTTACCATTATACCATTTCTTGTGAAAACATTTTTCTATAACAAATAATTTTTTTAAAAGATTACATTTTGTAAGATATAATTGATAAATAATTAGGCAACTCAATTTATTCCAACTATGGCATGTAGTATATCTAATAGAATGTAAATATTTATATAATATTTTTTATATCCAGTGCAATATATCACTTAATGTGCAACTCTTTATTCTATTGGACATTCAAATGGTAAGCTTGATTTTGAACTTTAGAGTATATTAGACCCATAAAATAAAGAGTAATATTAAATTATAATTTTTTATTAAGATAAAATTATATTTTTTAACGGTTATATTAACAAATATCAACGAAAAGAGGTTACGTTGTTACACGTGCACAAACGTTATGAGATATAAGAGTAATATTTTAAGTGTGAAAGAGTCCAAATGATTAAGTGACAAACATAAGGGGATCTAGGTATAATTTATCAATTTAATTTTAGGTGCACACTGATACAAATTTTCATCTTTGAGGGTGTAAATTGAGATTTTTTATCTTTAGGGGTGCACATTGATACAAATTTTTATTTTTGAGGGTGCAAATTGAGATTTTTGATTTTTGGGGGTACACATTGATACAAATTTCTATCATTGAAGGTGTAAATTGAGATTTTTGATTTTTGAGGGTACAAATTAAAATTCGAACGATCTTTCAAGATGCAATTTACAATTAATCCAAATAAATTCAGGGGCGGAGTGGAGTTTTTTCCACCCTTCTTTCTATTCTATTCTATCCTTTTTTTCCATTGGAACCACCGAACCAAACAAAGGGTACATTTTTCACCCCCCCCTATTTTTTATCCTTCATTATCCATCCACTCCATATTCCATCAAACCAAACAAGCCATTGGATGCAGCACCTCCAGTTTTGTAAGGTAGACTCCTCATTACTCTCTCTCTCTCTCTCTCTCTCTCTCTCTCTCTCTCTCCAAAGGGCACTGCCTACCAAGTACCAACCCAGTAATCCATACATTTAACCATGACAATGCCAGTTTAAGGTGTACGTTGAATAGCCGGTCTTATACTAAAAGTGAAAAATAATTCTGCTAAAATAAGCCACTATCTATAGCCACTGTTTGGCCAACATCCTATTTCATACTCATGGACTAATTACAACCAGACATTCTAGACAGGACATGATAGAATACAGAAAAAGCATACAACACGTGGCTAATAAGATATTCAATCATTAGCCAGGCCTCAACAATATACTTGATTCCCTCCAAAACACTTTTTTTTATTTCTAGGCAAATCACCTATACTTTATTTACTCGATTCATCTCTCTTTCTCTCTCTCTCTAATTAAATCCCAAAAAATTTGCTCTTAAATTAGCAAGTACCAACCCAATAATTCATGGAATCTATTATGGAATTTTAATACCAAAATAAAGTATTTTTGAACTTATTTATCAAATTAAACACTTTTTAAAAGTAAAATCAATAATTCCACTTTGGAAAAAGTTCACTTTATCCCTTTATAGTTTGATCGATTTACACATCACCTCCTTGTGGTTCAAAAAACCATGGCTTCTGTTCGCCTCTCTCTTCCGATTCTCAATTCATCGCCTTCCCTCCAAGCCCCCGTTTCAAAACCCCAAGTCCTCCGTACACCGTCCATCACCAAAGGGTTACATCTGTGTGCATGTTTGTTTCTAAGGGAATCGATTCATCTCTCTTTCTCTCTCTCTCAAACACACACACACTCGAACAGCTGCTCAAAAAGCTCTTAATTGATTCAATTTTTCTGGTATTTTTTGCCCCTTCTTGGTCGATTTTTCTAGACTACGGGAAATTAATGTCGTAAGCACAGGAATGAATTACTGTACTAATGATTTAATGCTATTTTTTTTCCCCAGATTTGATCTCAGTTGTACTGGTAATGATGATTTAATGCTACGTTGTTGAAGTGTGGTTATCGATCGTTATTTGACCATTAAAAGTGGTTAGTTTGGTAATGTTAAAGAATATTTCATATGTTCAAGTGGAATTTAGTAATGACAAGCTAAAATCCAAATGACGATCTGTGCACATGTTCGTTTCTCACTTTTGACTGCTAAATTTGATTTGATATACGTCAACGTGTTTTTCCTCCATAGTTAAGTTGATGAATTCCTTGCAGTGAACCATTGGGTTGAAATTGAGAATTTGTCTGTGTGTATATAAAGGTTAGTGTGTTCCCTATCACTGTAATGTTCAAGATGTGCTCGATTTTCCTCTCTGTTGCATCTATCTATCTTGTAGAGACGGCTATTGGTGATCGCAGAGAAGTCAAATGAGTATTGCTGCCCTAGAACTCTTGAGTTTTGAAATCCTGGTGCTTACTGTTGCAACTTCTGTTTTCACTACAGAGGCAGAAGTTAGGACAACATTTAAAAAAAAAAAAAAAACGACTCGTAGGTTGAGCTATTGAACGATGCTTGATTCCAAAATTGAAAAACACCACCTAATTCAGTCCACAAACTGTCACAGGGTTTGGTTTGCTTGATGCTACGTTTTGATGGGAAACAATTTCATTTAATTTGTTTATTTATAAAAATATTGTTTAGACAATTAATAGCACAAGAAATAGATCGAAACTACTGGGCAGTGTGGTATACTATTTGTCTGTTTAGTCCCTTGTGCTTTCTATCTACTGTCTAGTCTTGATACTGAAGCTACGGTCGACCAATGGCGGATTGCTTGTGTAGGAATGAATTTTTTTTTTATTTATGAAAACCTCGGCGATAATGTATTTGTAAAAAAAAATTTCTTTTGTAAGAATATTGGTATATTTTTATTTTAGATATGTATGTTTGTCTATAGAAAGTATTATTGTAAATAAAATTTATTTTTTTTAGAAAAAAAAAAAGAGTATTTACTTCTGCAAAAATGCCAAGGCAAATAGTTTTATTTTTTGCGTGTGCAAAGAGTATTTTGCCGAAACAAAAAATAGAATATTTGTTTCGGCAAAGTGCTGAATCAAATACCCAGTTTTTTGCTTTGGCTCTCTCGTGCCGAAGCAAATATTTCTCTTTTGCTTCCACGTTTTTTGCTTTGACAATTAGTCGAAGCTAACTTTTGCATCAGCACTTTTTTACTACGCTCCATTTGCCGAAGCAAAAGCCCTCTTTACTTGTAGTGGCAATTATATCACATCCGCATTAATTGTTTTAATTCATACAACAATTGTTGAGGTTTAATGAAATACAATTTTTGGGGTTATGAATTACATGCTTCTAATTTTTTGAATCCTTCAGGGATTCGCATGTATATCTTATAATCTAATGAGTCATATAAATACGCAAGAACTACGTCCATTAAGCACTAATGTTATTGGGATATAATTTAAGGATTTAATGTATTATGACAATTAAATTGATAGTGTTGGGACTCAGTGATGATTTAATGTTGAGATCCACTGACAATCTAATGACTACAATTATTAAATTTCTAAATTATGTCATCAAATTATGTCCTAATAGCATTACTCGTCCATTAAGTGTATCTCTAGTCCTTTGGAGACCAAAAGAACTAACAAAAAACTGAAAATGATAATGTTCA